AGCATTCCATGCCTCAATGATACACTTAACAAGCATTCCATGCCTCACTGATACACTTAACAAACATTCCATGCCTCACTGATACACTTAACAAGCATTCCATGCCTCACTGATACACTTAAAAAGCATTCAATGCCTCACTGATACACTTAACAAGCATTCAATGCCTCACTGATACACTTAACAAGCATTCCATGCCTCACTGATACACTTAACAAGCATTCCATGCCTCACTGATACACTTAAAAGGCATTCCATGCCTCACTGATACACTTAACAAGCATCCCATGCCTCACTGATACACTTAACAAGCATCCCATGCCTCACTGATACACTTAACAAGCATCCCATGCCTCACTGATACACTTAACAAGCATTCAATGCCTCACTGATACACTTAACAAGCATTCAATGCCTCTCTGATACACTTAACAAAATTCCATGGCTCACTGATACACTTAACAAATTGATTCCATGTCTCACTGATACACTAAAACAGTTCGTGTCTCACTGATACACTTAACAAACATTCCATGTCTCACTGATACGCTTAACAAAGATTCCTTGTCTCACCGACACACTTAAGGAACATTCGTTTCCAGTACAGTACAGTACATTCCAGTCGTCTTACAATTACACCGGGGAAATTCTAAACATATTCATATTCCCAAGTAATTCATACAGCCAACACCGGATAAAACAGAGTTAAACGTGGAAAGGTGGAATCGAATCTCGGGGAGTAACAATGAAATCCGCTGTTTTAAGGGTTAACGAACCATGTCTATAACGTACTCCCCGATAACGAACTGATTGCGGAGGACCATGCTCAGCATATGGTGAGTTGACAAAGTGTAAGAAACATGCTACCCCTTTTCTAAGGGCATTGTCAACACTGCGACTGAATCACAAAATCACAAAATAATACCGAGTGAACTGGAAACACCGATATTAGGCCTAAACTCTGAAAAGGAAACTGAAAAATAATGTTATAGCGTCCTAAACGACATGTCGAGTTCGGGTTAACGGGGTTTCACTGTATTGATATCGTCATTCCTTACACACGTGTGGGCGAGCAACCCGTTTGAGATAACTGTCCGTGATTGGCTACTCCATGGTGATGACCTAAGGTCAGATTTTGACGGACTACTTTCCTGATTGTAACTCATTGATAAAATTCTCATGCTTCGGTTGAATTTCACCTTTGTTCGTGTTGAAACTGTATGGCTTTAGGGTGTATGGACTTACAACTCGACGTTATATCCGGCCATTTCATCAACTGACATTCAGCGGATCCATCCACGAAAGTTAAAATAGAATGCGAATTTCAAACTTTAAAGTCGTGCATGCCACATCTACATATGACACTGATCGCATTTTGATAATAAATGTCTAAAATACCACAGGTCATCGCTGAACCGATGGCGCAAGGGGACTGTTCGCTCCTGCAGATGGTTGTAAATACTGAGTCATATCATATGATGCGAAGAAACAGTTTGCTATTTTTTATTACATTGATTTCAGTTGTTTTTTTCAAGAGTTTGTCGCTTTGTGAATAAAAACAAATGTTTCGCCAGAATGTGAATACTGGCTACTGTTTCCAGAAATGGCTGGTTTATTTGGAAACTTCTTTCCTGGCGTGTAGTAGCACGGTGAGTTTTTATACATAGGGTGTACAGTTGACTGAGGTTTTATAGATTTCCTAAACATTTGCTATTTCATGCTGTAACGATTTAATACCAAAACAGAACTGTACGTGCATATTAATAATTATACTACTGACATCTGATTTTTTTACTTTTCATTTTCATATTTCGGCACAATACAACTAAATATTTGATTTCTCCGACTACAAAACAGCTTCAAAATAGTACTATAATATGGAGAAGTACCAAGTGTTTAAGTGCACCTTTTAGTCCTCATGATTAGAATATGAGATCGTTGTTCACGTCAGTGTGTTTTGGCTGACGAGGATATACAAAAGAAAGATAAATAGCTAGTTGTAAACAGTTGTAAGTGTCCCATAAATTGTCTGTCATGTTCACATTTCACATTTTGTTCTGTCACGACCATTTACACAGTACTTATGCACATTTTTATCAAGTTGGGTTTAAAATGAAACATCCTTGCGGATTTTGTTCTGAACTTGTACCAAATATTTCCAAATGTTTGTACCTGTGAATATGCAATGTGTTTCTTTCCATTCTAAAACTGAACATTCTCACGGGTTTGGTCTCAACTTCGAATATGTACTCATGTATCGTTTGAGGTAGTAATGTGATGTCATCTGCCAAGCCAGCAATATTCCAGTTATGTCACGACGGCATGCACATAGTGGAGTCTGGGCCAGAAAAAAACAGTGACAGCAGAATCGCCATGACACACAATCAGCTAAGTCACAGAACCTGACCACAGAGTCCAAATACGTCGCCAGTTAACGGCAAACAAAGACGTACAGTGGACCTATTCAGCGCCGGATCTCCAGGGGCTCCAACTGAGGATCTTGAGGTTTCAGGGGCGGTCGGGTAGCCTAGTGGTTTTAAAGCTTTCGACGACACGTCGAAGACCCGGGTTTGATTCCCAACATTGGTACAATGTGTGAAGCCCATTTCTGGTGTCCTTCGCCGTGATATGACTGGAATATTGCTAAAAGCGGCGTAAGATCAAACTCACTCACCCTTTCGGTTTAAAAGTGGTGACGTCGGCGTGAAGCTTTTTGAAGAGGATGGTTAACTTAATGGTCATTAAATTGTTTCGATTCTACACAATTACTTTATTGAATAATATGAACGTTGCTGCAAGGCATAGAACACTGGCCGCCAATGGCAGTTTCTTAGTTTCGTAATAATAATAATAATAATAATAATAATAATAATAATAATAATAATATAAAAAAAAATAAAAAAAAATAATAATAATTGATTTGTTAAGCGCCTAATATCCATCGACAGTTGCTCACTGGCGCTGTGACAAAGTTAAAAAGTAATGTCTATGTACATATGCCAACAATCAGGAGACCTTTTGAAAAGCTGAAGTGAAGAAGTACATAAATGCCAATGGAGATACTCAACAACCCCATTCCTACACAAAGGGTATTGGAATGGCACAGAATGAGTTCCTACGTCGGTTATCCAATAATTCCTTTTAGTGTCATTATTTTGCTGGAATGTATGTCATGGAATGAACAAACCCATCAACACATTCATGCTTTGTACATCTTGAGGCAATTCGCTGTGCAGAGTTGCGTCCCTTGTGCGCACCATGATCCTAGTAGTATCATTAGTCGGCACCAAAACCAAATTGAAAACATCCGTTCAGGATGCTTTACGGGGCGATTTCCAAGGTGAAAGCAAAAGTTAACCCCAAACTCGGTTCATGCAGGACCAAATTGTGAAATCAGTGACATACAAGACCATTGAATAATCCACATCTTATATTTAAACACACAGTTTTAGGGTTACAGTCACAAAAACGGGCAATATAATAAGTCAAACATGGGGCAGCAGCATTAAATAACAGGCCTTTTAATATAATAGTTCACTAACGAAGGTCCATAGTTTTGACTTATATACAGCCTCTTAGACACAGTCAAAGCATTTTCAGTGAGCATTTAATACATATTCAAAGGGGCCTTTAGTAATTTGACATGCTGTCGCTGACATGTTGTACATTATGTATAAATGAATGATAAAACTGACATTATGTTATAAAAATTGTATATTTTCTTTGAATTTAATTATTGTTATTATTTAATTGAAAATATTTTAGCCGTTTCTTCTTACACTGAACATGGACTCAAACATGAAGTTAGGACCTCTTGAGTTTAATCTACACGTTCTGATGACCTTGGTGACAGTATGACAATTACTAGTGGTTTTTTTATATCAAAAACTGCTATCAAATAGAAACAAAAATAAAGGGCAGAAAAACCGGAAAAAGTTGACAAACTACTTTAGATACACTGTACAAAATGTGTTTAGGATGTCAACACAGACAGACATGTTCAGCTGTAAACATGATTAGGAATGTGTTTAAATCCTAAACGGAATACATATTTGGTGTGTTCTATCTCAATGCATTTAGGGCTAAACACATGAAATGAGCTATCGTCTCACAGCCTAAATACCATATGGGCATAATTCCCATAATCTAAACATGTGCAGAATTTAAACACGTTAAACTATCGTTAGATTTTTAAACATGTTAATATTTTAAACATGTTTAGAATAATTTGAACACGTTTAAACATATTTCATCTTAAAACATGCGAAAACATGTTTCGAATATAAACATGTTTCAATAAAGTGCAATCATTAATTAATAAGTCAAATACAGATAAGATGTTTGATTTATATTGAAATTAGATGTGCAAATCCGATTCACAGTATAACACAATATAACACCGGGGCTTACAACGCACAATATTTACATAATAATGTGCAACTTAACCAAACACGGTTTATATGACTTGCAAAATTGACACTTGTGACGACAATGGTCTCCACAGCACAGGTGGTGACGTGAAAGACAATGAATCAGGAGACTGCAGGTTCCCATCCCGCCGAGGTTAAACAACCTGTGTGTTCATGAATGTGTTGCTGTATGGCGTTTTCTCTTATACAGCTAGGAAGCTGACAATGAATCATGATTACCACTACCCACTCACCCCAAATTAATCCATTTATACTGCTAAAATAGCTTTAACCATCCCCACCCACCCCCACACACTCACTTCTGTATCCCCATTAAAAGCTAATAAAAACATAGAAAGCAACCCTTTTTAAATTACCTACAATGGATTTCAAGGTGGGTATACACATTTAGACTCTAAACACGTCCAGCTGTTAAACACAACCCTTAACATGTTAAGACCTTAACATGTCTAAATTATGGGACAAGGGATGTGTTTAACTTGTGTTTAGGATAAAAAACATATCTCATTATTACTATTATCTGTAGTTAGGATATAATCATAATGACAGGAAGCAATCACGCATGCTCCGATCAGCGGTATATAACCTAATGTCTAAAGGGCAGTGCACAGACTGCACTGGAGACGCGACATGGCAGTCACAATGATCGTCCACCTAGTGTGCGCCGTACTCACCACAGCCCTCTGTAAAGTAGGTATAGTGTTTCATCTCTGTCAGCCACTTAATGTCAGTACCAGCTCTATTGCGACTTTTCATGTATTCAACTGATTTTCTGACTAAAATCTTCTTACACAGTGTCAAATGGGCGAACGTTTTGGCTGACAACTTACAATCCCGAAGACTAAATCTGTTTGTTGTTTAACGCCGCACTCAGCAATATTCAAGCTATATGACGGCGGTCTGTAAATAATCGAGTCTGAACCAATCTAGTGATTGACATCATGAGCATCGATTCACGCAATCGGAATACGATGACATGCATCAACCAAGTCAGCAAGCCTGACCACCCGTACCCGTTAGTCGCATCTTACGACAAGCAATTTACGGAAAGAATGGTTTGCTGTAGACCTATTCTAGCCCGGATCTTCACACATTGGAGGTCTTCATCTATATTTCAATGGAAGTAGGTAGACAACTACACAAAAAGTATATAATAAATCTCGTGACGGGGAAAAGGAGATTTATAATAAATCTCGTGACGGGATAAAGGAGATACATAAGAAATCTCGTGACGAGGGAAAGGAGATTAATGATCAATCTCGTCACGGGGAAAAGGAGAAATCTGTTATAACCTTTCTTTATGTTTCAACTATCTGTTATAACAGTACAATATGTTTCAACTATCTGTTGTAACGGTTCTATATGTTTCAAATATCCGTTAAAACAGTTCTATTTGTTTCAGCTATCTGTTATAACGGTTCTTTATGTTTCAACTATACGTTGTAACAGTTCTATATATTTCAGCTATCTGTTATAACGGTTCTTTATGTTTCAACTATACATTATAACAGTTCTATATGTTTTAGTTGGCTGTTATAACGGTTCTACATGTTCCAACAATCTGTTATAACCGTTCTATGTTTCAACTATCTGTTATAACCGGTCTATGTTTCAGCTTTCTGTTATAAGGGTTCTATGTTTCAGCTATCTGTTATGACGGTTCTATATGTTTCAGTTATCTGTTATAACAGTTCTATATGTTTCAACTATCCCTTATAACAGTTCTGTATGTTACAAATATCCCTAATAACAGTTCTATATGTTTCAGCTATCTGTTATAAGACTTCTTTATGTTTCACCAATCGGTTATAACGGTTCTTTATGCTTCAACTATACGTTATAACAGTTCTATATGTTTCAGCTATCTGATATAACGGTTCTTTATGCTTCAACTATACGTTATAACAGTTCTATATGTTTGAACTACCTGTTATAACAGTTTCTTTATGTTCCAACAATCTGTTATAACAGTTCTATATGTTTCAACTATCTGTTATAACCGTTTATGTTTCAGCTATCTGTTATAACAGTTCTATGTTTCAATTATCTGTTATAACCTTTCTATATGTTTCAACTATCTGTTATAACACTTCTTTATGTTTCAACAATTTGTTATAACGGTTCGTTATGTTTCAACTATCAGTAAAAACGTTGCTATATGTTTCTCGCGTTGAAATTGATGGAGTAGTGCTGAACGTGGCGTTAACACAAACTCTCTCATCCCCTGGAACACATACTATGGTACCTGTGTTTTCAGGGTAATCCCACCGACCCGGGCCGGCTGCGGGTGCTCAGTATCTCAGCTGAACAGGAGGAGGGATCATTCAAGTACTCCGTCCAATACAGGAACTCGATCCAAGCAAACAGTTCCTGGGAGGTCGCGCATAATGGAGGCTTGCTTGGAAGTGTACTAGGTAAGATTACACTCAGAAGTACTTCTGTCGAGAGGGAGTTGTTAGTCGGCTGTGGGGGGTTTGGTGCCTGAAGGAGGCTTTACATTAACGAATATTTATTATTTTTATTAGATCTGTACCCAATAAAACAGGTAAACCCGAATTTACAATTCCACACCAACAGGTACCTATTTCTTCCAAAATTCCAAAAATGACATACTGAAAAATGTTTATGTTATGTAAGAACAGCGTTCGGTTGAATGATTTGAGGGTATACATTCGGCATGCTTTATTCAGACATGTTTGTTGTAGACGCTGATGTCTACGATATAACAGAACGGTTCAGTGGTGGAGAGGGATGGTCGGTGCTAACGTCCAATATTGAGATTCCAAGAGCGAGCGCGGATCTGTACACTAACGATGCAATGACGAGCTTCATGATTCTATTCGAAGGGGTGACAGGGCACCAAACAGTACAAGGAAACGAGATTCGATTTCCCTTGGGTCAAGATTTTTCTTACACTCCCGGCGAGCCTCTGGACATCGTAGCACAGTTCGCCCATGGGGACGATTATAACATTAATGTAGAACGGGACTTGAGCTGGGTCTTCTTAGGTATTGATAACTACCGTATGACGCCAGTGCTAGAAATGACATCCAATTACGACCCTAATGTTCGTCGTTTTGTTTCATTTGTCAATACAACTCAAGGCAACGGCTATACCGAAGCCTCCGCTACTGTAAATCTGATGTCACAGGAAGGTGTAGTCTTTGTTCATGAAGCTGTTTATTTTGATACCAGACCCGAATCCCCCAATATCTTTATCACTGATGGATTCTACATCCACCAAGAGGGTCACCCGAACATATTCCCATCGAATTTCATTGGTTTCTTTACCATTGGTGAGATGTATGGAAGAGGAGAAAACACAAGGTGCCGTGAGAACGCTAGCTGTTCCTTCGAATGTAATGCTGTGGGGCGGGAAATTGAGTCAGTTGTCATGCGTAACACCGAAAATGGACGTGTCGTGGCTCCAGTCGAGGAAGTAAGCCAAGGTATGGTACACTGGACATCGTACAGACTTGACAACTTCAATCGGGCGGACCAGGGAAATTACGCGTGTACTGCCACTAATAGGAATGGTCTGACAAAGGAAAGGATATTCTCGATCGATCTAGAATTGCCACCAACGGGATTGCTCTGACATTGGAAAGGATTATCTCGATCGATCTGGTTGTCCATTGACACATCCGAGATTCGAAATACATGAAAACCTGATGACATGAAACATACAAAATGTATTGGAGAAATTGCAGAAGAGGCACGGAGAAAATAGTGAGTGAGTATGGTTTTACGCCGCTTTTAGCAATATTCCAGCAATATCACGGCGGGGGAGACCAGAAATGGGCATCACACATTGTGCCCATGTCGGGAATCGAACCCGGGACTGTGGCGTGACGAGCGAACGCTTTAACCACTAGGCTACCCGACCACCCCCGGAGAAAGTAGTGGTTAGTCTCTCATACATGATGGGGGACAAATCTCCGATAACTCCCAAGCAAGATTACAACTGTTTGACAAATCTAGATTTCTTCAGTTTCTGAAAATTAAGATATTCACTGGACTCCTTTCTAAGATACTTTAAGAGACTATGTAACCAAAGAGAATTCTTAAACAACATTTTATTCATTCCAGATATGTTATACCTCACCATACATTTGGTTGTTTGGTATTGGCTGATATGTAATTTGACAGTTTTAGTAATTTAGCCAATAAAGTATATATACTGCAAGAGGAGAAATGAGTTGTGTTTAAAACTTTGGACGTTTGACACTTTGACAAACCTTTCGAGCACTTATATGGTGTTTACAGACCACGGATCATAATCATTGAAAATATGGGATTCGAACACATGACCAGCTGCAGCGGGTCCCTGCACGACCAAAGGCCAGAACAGTAGAACACTAATTGGTGCGTTCAATGTATTGCCATATGAATAAATGTGGTATGGTCTGTGTTTTCAACTGATGTTCAAACATACACCAGGATGGTAATCAAGCTCCGCCAACTACACTTCTCAAAAGAAGTTTCCTTCCATAGTATTCTAGTTGAACTGTCATGGCATGTAAAATAGCCATTTAAAATAATCAGATCCTGTTGTTTTTTCTTGGGAAGAAACGCAATTGTTTTCAACAGTCATATACTGTAAATCGGGAAATTAATGCGTCGCCAGAAGAATGCGACCGCTGGTTCCTAGCCCAAAATGCGACTCAATATGAATGCAACACCCCCTTCTCTCAAGCATCAGTCACTGTGGATATATATCTAAACAAAACGTCCTCTGTTAGGTTTACAGGAGAATCCTCACCTTAATCCAACCTTACATTAATCCAATCACACACCAAATAGCCCCGCTTCTAAGAGCTGAGTAGAGTACTTCCGCTAAAACAAGACATGCGCGCTGGCTCGTGTCGGCCTTTGATGCAGTCGCAAAGAACAAAGACACCATGTTGCGTGGGTGGCATCTATCTGGACTTGTAGGTGTGATCAGTGATGACATAAGTGAGTAGAACTCTCGTCTTGACCCATCTTGTACTCGTATTGTAATACAGAAACCAACTTCAATTATCTAATAACATGTTTTGGAATTGTTCCGAGGCAATAGGTATTTGCTACCCTTTCCATTGCTTCCTCTGCTTCTGTGTCACGTGATATGATCCGGCGAAGGGTCGGAAGAGTACACAACGAATTGCTGCACTTTGGACCAATTTATTGTCGTATAAATACATGTGGTATGGTCTCTTTATTTAAATGATGTTCAAACATACACCTCTAAAATAATGAAGCACCGCCAACTACACAACACCAAAGTCGTTAAGGACCACCTAATTCTTCCATGTTATTGATCTGTCATGGCAAGTCTCTGCCTCTTCGCATCATGTGATAGGACCCAGCCCGTACAACCATTTGAGGCACATGGAGATGTCGATGGTATCTTAGACCTCATCAAATATCACCAATGTCGTTCGTAGCTCTTTCCAGAGACACATGGGCGTTCGGAGTATAGGAAAATATTAAAAACGAGTGGTGCTATTTTTCCAGGCATATATATTATTTAAAGAACTACCTGAAAGGAAAGCTACTTTTTCGGAATGTTTGTTTCAGCTAGACACAGAATGTTGGTTTCGATGTATCAGCAAGACACGGAATGTTGGTCTCGATGTATCAGCAAGACACATGGTGTTTGTTTAGATGTTCAGTGAAATACGGAATGTTTGTTTCAGCAAGACACAGAATGTTGGTTTCGATGTATCAGCAAGACACGGAATGTTTGTTTAGATGTTCAGTGAAATACGGAATGTTTGTTTCAGCAAGACACAGAATGTTGGTTTCGATGTATCAGCAAGACACATGGTGTTTGTTTAGATGTTCAGTGAAATACGGAATGTTTGTTTCAGCAAGACACAGAATGTTGGTTTCGATGTATCAGCAAGACACATGGTGTTTGTTTAGATGTTCAGTGAAATACGGAATGTTTGTTTCAGCTAGACACAGAATGTTGGTTTCGATGTATCAACAAGACACATGGTGTTTGTTTAGATGTTCAGTGAAATACGGAATGCTTGTTTCAGCTAGACACAGAATGTTGGTTTCGATGTATCAGCAAGACACATGGTGTTTGTTTAGATGTTCAGTGAAATACGGAATGTTTGTTTCAGCTAGACACAGAATGTTGGTTTCGATGTATCAGCAAGACACATGGTGTTTGTTTAGATGTTCAGTGAAATACGGAATGTTTGTTTCAGCTAGACACAGAATGTTGGTTTCGATGTATCAGCAAGACACATGGTGTTTGTTTAGATGTTCAGTGAAATACGGAATGTTTGTTTCAGCTAGACACAGAATGTTGGTTTCGATGTATCAGCAAGACACATGGTGTTTGTTTAGATGTTCAGTGAAATACGGAATGTTTGTTTCAGCTAGACACAGAATGTTGGTTTCGATGTATCAGCAAGACACATGGTGTTTGTTTAGATGTTCAGTGACATACGGAATGTTTGTTTCAGCAAGACACAGAATGTTGGTTTCGATGTATCAGCAAGACACAGAATGTTGGTTTCGATGTATCAGCAAGACACATGGTGTTTGTTTAGATGTTCAGTGAAATACGGAATGTGGGTTTCAGCTAGACACAGAATGTTGGTTTCGATGTATCAGCAAGACACATGGTGTTTGTTTAGATGTTCAGTGAAATGCGGAATGTTTGTTTCAGCTAGACACAGAATGTTGGTTTCGATGTATCAGCAAGACACATGGTGTTTGTTTAGATGTTCAGTGAAATACGGAATGTTTGTTTCAGCAAGACACAGAATGTTGGTCTCGATGCATCAACAAGACACATAGTGTTTGTTTAGATGTGCCAGTGAAATACGGAATGTTTGTTTCAGCAAGACACAGAATGTTGGTTTCGATGTATCAACAAGACACATGGTGTTTGTTTAGATGTTCAGTGAAATACGGAATGTTTGTTTCAGCTAGACACAGAATGTTGGTTTCGATGTATCAGCAAGACGCATGGTGTTTGTTTAGATGTTCAGTGAAATACGGAATGTTTGTTTCAGCTAGACACAGAATGTTGGTTTCGATGTATCAGCAAGACACATGGTGTTTGTTTAGATGTTCAGTGAAATACGGAATGTTTGTTTCAGCAAGACACAGAATGTTGGTTTCGATGTATCAACAAGACACATGGTGTTTGTTTAGATGTTCAGTGAAATACGGAATGTTTGTTTCAGCAAGACACAGAATGTTGGTCTCGATGTATCAGCAAGACACGGAATGTTTGTTTAGATGTTCAGTGAAATACGGAATGTTTGTTTCAGCAAGACACAGAATGTTGGTTTCGATGTATCAGCAAGACACATGGTGTTTGTTTAGATGTTCAGTGAAATACGGAATGTTTGTTTAGATGTTCAGTGAAATACGGAATGTTTGTTTCAGCAAGACACAGAATGTTGGTTTCGATGTATCAACAAGACACATGGTGTTTGTTTAGATGTTCAGTGAAATACGGAATGTTTGTTTCAGCAAGACACAGAATGTTGGTTTCGATGTATCAACAAGACACATGGTGTTTGTTTAAATGTTCAGTGAAATACGGAATGTTTGTTTCAGCAAGACACAGAATGTTGGTCTCGAGGTATCAGCAAGACACGGAATGTTTGTTTAGATGTTCAGTGAAATACGGAATGTTTGTTTCAGCAAGACACAGAATGTTGGTTTCGATGTATCAGCAAGACACATGGTGTTTGTTTAGATGTTCAGTGAAATACGGAATGTTTGTTTAGATGTTCAGTGAAATACGGAATGTTTGTTTCAGCAAGACACAGAATGTTGGTTTCGATGTATCAGCAAGACACATGGTGTTTGTTTAGATGTTCAGTGAAATACGGAATGTTTGTTTCAGCAAGACACAGAATGTTGGTTTCGATGTATCAACAAGACACATGGTGTTTGTTTAGATGTTCAGTGAAATACGGAATGTTTGTTTCAGCAAGACACAGAATGTTGGTCTCGAGGTATCAGCAAGACACGGAATGTTTGTTTAGATGTTCAGTGAAATACGGAATGTTTGTTTCAGCAAGACACAGAATGTTGGTTTCGATGTATAAGCAAGACACATGGTGTTTGTTTAGATGTTCAGTGAAATACGGAATGTTTGTTTAGATGTTCAGTGAAATACGGAATGTTTGTTTCAGCAAGACACAGAATGTTGGTTTCGATGTATCAGCAAGACACATGGTGTTTGTTTCGGTGTGCCACAATCTCATTAAAATCAGATCTTAGTTCTGGCTATCGCTGAACAAAGATCTGAGGACATCCCATTTGGGGTCACGTCAACTGATGTTCTAACAAAAAAACTTCTTACAGTGTCTAGTTAATTCACAATGTACAAAATGTAGCAGCGATGAAAACAATGATAAATATAATTATTAAATACATTATGATTGCAAAGTTAAACCTTCGGGTAACCCAGCTCTACATTGGAAACATAGCAATGTGTGTTTATCTCCTAAAACAACGACCCAGGCCAATGTGTGCGATGACAAACAATCAGACAGGTAACACATTGTAACCATCGGAACCTCATTAGTAGGTTTTTCACCAGCACTGGTTACGTGCCTATGTTACCTATTCTGCCCGACGGGTACACCGTATATTACTCCAAACAAGTTAAAGAACGTCCAATTCTTTCATGCGCCATGATAGATTAACTTAAGTCATGTGAAACAATTGGACGTGCGTTTCCCTTTTAAAAGTAATATTATATTTAGCATTCTTTATTTATACGTGTGTGTTACAGACGCTGGTGTCTACGGCATAACCGGACAGTTCAGTGATGGAATGGGGCGATCGGTGCTGACGTCCGATTCCAAGCTTCCAACTGTGAGCGTGAAATTGTACAGCGCTGAGGTGACGAAACTCGTGATTCTATTCCACGGGGTGAAAGGGTGGAAGGGAACCGACCCGTGAAAAACCGGGGTAGAATAGGTCTTCAGCAATCCATGCTTGTCGTGAAGGGCGACTACGCTTGTCGTAAGAGGCGACTAACGGGATCGGGTGGTCAGGCTCGCCGACTTGGTTGATGCATGTCATCGTTTCCCAATTGCGTGGATCGATGCTCATAGTGTCAATCACTGGATTGTCTCGTCCAGACTTCATTATTTACAGACCGCCGTCATATAGCTGGAATATTGCTGAGTGCGGCGTTAAACAACAAACAAACAAATA